AACCTGAAGTCTCGCTGTTTAAATCTCCGTGTGTTTACAGCTCCAAAACACAAGTCCAGTTGCTTCATCTTTTTACTTTTCATTTTCAACGTAGATAGTATGATAATAACGATGTCCAGCCTGGGTTGTGGAGAGTATCGATCCTAAAGTTCGATACTCGGTCGATACTTTTTTCCAGCTCGTAGTTTCGTTCAAAAAAAAGCTTCACTGGAGCATCCTGGTCAGAGGCAGGTTCAGATATAAACACTGAACTAAAGAAGCAGGTCAGATCATTATTTAATCGGCTCTGATTAAACAACACCTTCCGATTTGATGTGCAAAATGTAGTATCAATGCTAGCTACTGTATGTAAACAAACAAGCCGGCTGACGAGACGTCACGTTTTTTACTGTGCATGCGTGTCACATCAGTACTGTGTTGCATTCACACAGAGGTCTGATGCAGGTCACATTTAAAATGTAATGTGAACGTTCACACAAAAAGATTGGATTTTTTCAAAAAATCGGAACTGAGCATTAAGACCTGCAGTGTGAACGTAGCCATTGTTACATGGAGTTTAACACAACTGAGCAAATCATCTGTTCCTTGTGCTTGTAAGTGGGGTGCACTTGAAAGGTTAAATTATCCTGAAGAGTTGTGTATTTTTACTGTGACTAATATGCTTAAATAACTGGAGTTAAACAAAAGTAATTTTCAGGATTATATTTCACTACCTATGAAGACATCCCACTTCTGCCATATTTTGATTATTAGTTTATTTAACAAGCATATTGATGAATATTAGATTATGTAGGTGCACCAGAGCTATCCTAAAGACTTTTTCAGGCTCAGACTCAGGCTGCTCAAGACAGGAATGATTGCTGTTTTATTTGTAACATTCAGAATCTGAATGGTGGTGTCAAAGAAGACAGTGTTTGAAAAAAAACAATAGAGGTAGCTTTAGAGATGAGTCAACATGTTTCAATGATTTTCTTGTTAGCGTTGTCACTGTCATGCTTTCTGTTTAAAAGTACACAGTGTCAAGTGTGAAACAACAGTCACAGTGGTCTAGTGTTAAGCCGGTTCTGTTGGTTAGTTTTTTTTTCTGTCAAAGCAGCTAAACGCTGTGTGAGAAGGGCTTTTGTTAGCCCACAGCTGTTAATGTGTTGTTTTATGTAAACATTGCCTGTACCTTGTTCCTGGCTGTTACTCCTGAAAAGTTCCCCGCCCCACTCTGCGAGGTAACAGCACAGGCACATAAAACCCTCGTCGTTCTGGTTTACAGACTGTCATTGTTGCATTTTAGATATCTAAAAATGAGTTTTGACTAGAAACAACTACATTTTGACTAAGCTGAATGGTAATATCTGCTTTTACATTCTGACTAGTCAGAAGAACAATTCCAGATATCGTGAAAGGAATTCTGAGTAATCAAAATGCCTTCTAAAGATATCCCAAATGACATCACTAGATTCGTCATTTGAAGGGTCACACATCCGTAATTACAATTCAGGTTATCTAAAATGTAATTAGACTAGTCACAATTACATTGTTTCATGTCTAAATTAAGAAATTGTGTGTAAGCCGGCCCCCTTGCTGCCACTGAGCTGTCCAAATAGTTGCCTGCAGAATTTAGTGAGGCTGCAACGACAGACAATAATTTGTGTTTCTTAAATTCATGGCGAGCATGAGATGCAGCGATGAAAACATGTTTAAAACACGAGAATTTGAGTTTCACTGACATTATTTGCTTTCAAGACACCTGCAACTGAATGTGCACTAGTCGAATCTTATGTGTGTGATTCTAAGCTTCATTTGGGTTTTTGTCTCAACAGAACATAAGCGAGAAATCTTGAAAGCAAATAATGACTAGTCAGAACTACCTTAAAAATATGAAGAACTGTATTTTTGACTAGTCGCAATTCCTTTTAGGATATTTTGAATATAATTAGAGATGTCGTAATGAAGTAATTAGTCTATGTTTAATCCAATTTCAGATATTTGGAATGTGAGTTTGGTGAAGCTGATTTACTAATGGGCATAAAAAAAWGTCGGTAAAAACAGACTAAAATTCAGAAAAAATAATTTGGACTTTTTTTATAGGTGCAAGCAAGAGGAGGCGTGCTCACAGGGGATGACTTTCAAAACTACAGCACAGTCCTAGAAAAGCCAGCGGAAAGCACCTATCTGGGTACGTCTACAGTAAGAGAAGATAAAATATCAGAAATGACACAGAGACACTCTAATCTGCTTAATATTGACTGAACTCAGGCTGGATCATTTGTCCAAGTATTCCTATCTGCTTTCAGGATGTACTTATTTAATAGACGTACCTCTTTAAATTGACATAAAGGGAAACTGTGTGTACTAATACTAGCAAATGAAATTCAAATTATACTTTTTGTATGCATTTAAATGTTTATACTGCCCACATGTTATAATCTGCCCACATATTTTAGCTGTCTTCCTTTTATTGTATGAAATGTATTTTATTTTTGCATTGTTTGACATTTATAATGTAAAAAAAACAGAACTGAAATAAATTAAGTTTTTTTTTTTTTTTTGCATTAGTCAATACACAACAGTTGTTTGCAGCATGTTTTATACTGTACAAAGTTTTTGCTTTACTAATGATTAAATCTGTTTTGAAGGATACCATGTAATGGCTGCTCCAGCCCCTCATGCAGGTGTTGCCTTGATCGCGGCACTTAATATCCTTGAAGGCTACAACATTACAAACCAGGTGCCCCGGAGTAGCACCTACCATTGGATTGCAGAGGTAATTAAAAAGATCGTTTCACCACTGTACAACTTACAGCAAACAGAATACACATTATAATTTTGTATTTCTTTCTTCGCCTCCCTTTTTCAAAATATTGACGACAACCTGCCAGGCTTTGAAGATAGCACTGGCTCTGGCTAGTGGGCTGGGAGACCCTTTATATGACGCCGCAGTCTCAGAAACTGTTGCAACAATGTTAAGGTAAGGGTTCCTCCACGTTCTAAAAACTGATGTCAAACACAGGCATGGATTTGGCCCAATTCATAACGCGTTCTCCTAAAACTGATCTTTTGTACTTCCTTTTTCTAGTAAATCACAGGCTTCCCTATTCCGCCAGATGATCAACGACACTCTGGCATTCCCTGTAAACCATTACACTTCAGCATTTACCTTTGAGAAAGGTACGACTGCTGCTCAGGTCATGGTCATGGGCCCAGACGACCACATTGTGTCAGTTGTGAGGTATCTAAAGTTTATAATGAACAGTGGGTTTAACAAAATGTAAGGAACAGTTCAAAGTTGGTTATTGTCGCTGTTAAACATGGATTATTCTTATTTTTGTTTTAGCTCACTAAACAAACCATTTGGCAGTGGGATAGTGACTCCTTCAGGAATCCTTTTGAACAGCCAGATTCTGGACTTTTCCTGGCCTAATAAAACTCGGAACTCATCGCATAACCCTGTAATCCTCTTCATCTTTGTTTAACTCGTTTATTTTGATGGATTTAATGCAGTGTTTTTGTGTGTTTTTTTAATTATATTTATTTATTTATTACTGTAGCATAACAGTGTTCAGGCTGGAAAAAGACCCATGTCCTTCCTGATGCCCACAGCAGTGAGGCCTGCAGTGGGGGTGTGTGGCAAGTATGTAGCCGTTGGGTCGTCCAGTGGAGCCAAAGCCCTCAGTGGCATCACACAGGTTAAATACTTACTATTTAATATTAATAATGATAGAAACTGTCAATTTACATTTCAGTTTTATTCTCAAAATCAACCTATTACTGTTTAAATTTCAACTTTTCTCCTCATGTTGATCCTGCACAGGTCCTGATGAATGTTCTGTCTTCACGTAAAAACATGAATGACAGTTTAGCGTATGGAAGACTCCACCCTCAGCTGGAGCCCAACACCCTTCTGGTGGACTGTGAGTTTTCTCTACCAGCCCATCCTTTTATAGGGTTTGCTCTCAACGTGTTAAAACCAATAAGAAGAAAAAAACTAATGCTAATAAAAAAATGGAAGTGGTTTTGTGCAGTGTAGATTTGATCAGTAAATATCTTACCTGCAGTCAACAGTGGTCAGATTAATCTTCGTTTGAAAGACTGGATAGAAAGTCTTGTGGGAGATTCAACCTGACCGCTGCTCAGATTGGGTCTCATCTAATAATTGTGTTGACTCACCAATTTATACCATTTCAAATCACTTAAATTGAAAAAAAAAACGTTTTGTAGCAGTTGGAACTTTAATGAGCCTTTATTATGAGTAGCTGTTAGTTTGAGAGTTTCTCCCTCTCTGAACTGAGATCACTCTGACTGCTGCCTACAGCTAATGACAAACTCACTACTTATAAATCCTTCACTCACTAAACCTGACTTCAAATAAACTAAACCTCTGGATGACTTACTAAATCTCTAAATGTGGCAAAGTCATCCAGTCTTTATTAAAGGTGTCACAAATTATTTTCTTTTATGAATGTGTTTAGAAGCAGAAAATTTACTTTAACTACTTACCCCTCTTTCTACTGACCAGCTGTGTGTAGAAAATGTTAACTTTTAAACAAAAAGAAGAATTCAAATGTGTCATGGCACAATGCTTACACTCGGCATGCTTTTGTATACTTTGCAGTGTAGATGACTTTTAGAATACTAGCAAGCATGGCTAGATAAACAAACAAATCTAATAAAGTCTCCTTACTTATTGTATACTTGACTTCCTCTGCTGTGAATAAAGTAATCCCAAAACACACGTTTTAAGAGTAAAGATTTTCCTGAATTTGAAGTGCTAATCAAGCGTTGTTGTTTGTTCACATCACCATTCAAACATACCGTGACTGCTACACGTTACATTTGAGTGACATGTTAACAGAAAGTTTTAACACCCTTCTTATCCTGTATCGCTTCTTCTACAGCTGAGTTTTTAGAGGACGACGTGAAGCTGCTGCAGGCCAAAGGACACAAAGTTGAGAGGATGGACGTTCTCTCACTGGTGGAGGGCACACAGAGAACCAATGACATCATCACTGGGGTGAAGGACCCCCGAAGTGCTGATGCCTCTGCCCTTACTATGTCTAGCGTGCCGTAGTGCATCGCTTCTTCAGATAATTGCTTTTATTATTGAGGATGGTAAGACTAGCAGCATGTGGCTACATAAAAAGCAAAATTCAACAGCAAAGGGTTGTTTTCTGAAAAAAAAAAAAAACATCAGCAAAACACACGTGCAGCTTTTCTCTGGGCTGACCTGATAGGAGCCTTGTGATTTGCTCAAATTAAATGTTAGAACGCAACCCTACTAATTCTACTGCACCTTCTCACAACCTCATCTAATCGGCGCGCAGACACAATGTGAAATGGTTTTGAAGTTTAACTCCATCCCAAGGTTTGTTTCTAAATTAATGGTACGTAAGCCAGCTTTTACCTTTTTGCTAATGTGAAGAGGGAAAAGAAGTCGAAGCAGGAATGTCTAATAAGGCTCTTTTCCTAAGATTCTGTTAGGTGTTTTAAGAGTTTTTGCACTAACAGTGTACAATAAGGTAAATTATTGAATACTTAATGTATGATTGCCAGGATTTGCCTTTAGGAGAATGATGTGAGGTCTGTTTTAGATACCTTTCAGCTGCATTTCACTGTTATTCCAAATAGTTCACAACATCAGAAACAAGCCCTTGTTTCAGTATATCTGAACAGGACGGTCCTAAAGGGAACACATTAACCCCCTGTTCTTTAAATGATGTACAAGTGTCTTTAGATGTTGTTTGGTACAGCTGCTGGCGCTTTAGTTGTTGTAGTTGATCACTTCTACACCGGGACTGTGTTAAAACAAATGCGCACAACAGAAATGTGTTTGGATCACAAGTTTATTTCAATTAGCAAGATCCTTAAACTGATTTTAATAGGTTTTAGAAATCAGTACTCGTTTTATGGGTGTATTTAAATGTCGTGTTTTAGTAATTTAACTTGCTGTAAATATTTTTATTTTGAACCTGTGAATGAAGATTTTTGAGAAGGGTTTATATTTCTTAGAGCAGGAATAACTGGAAAATTTATTGTTTCTGTTTTTTGTATCAACATCTGCTTGACTGCATCTGTTGTTTTAATGTAGAACAGCATCAGACGGTGCATCTTGGATAAATGATGTTATGTTTGTTTTGCTGCACTAGTAATTATATTAAATTATATTATATTGTGTATTTACAGATAGAACAAACAGCTTCCTGTAGATGTTTCTGTCCAAAGTAAATCAGCTAGCTCCAACTGATCAAAAGACTTCTTGATTTTAAAATCATTTACACTTGTCTTCTGTACTGTAGAGGGCCGAAGTAAGGCACATTTGCACAAAACCTAATGTCTAATTTTGTTTGTGCTTTTATGTGATTATCATAAAAGTCTGCATTGTTCAAATAAAAAAATGAAAATGATACATTTAAATAATAATTATTAATATTTTGTTTGTTTGTTTTTTACCCTGCTTTCACTTAAACACATAATAAAGACATTTTACAATGAAGACATATTATTAGAACAATACATTAAATATAACAAAAATAACACCAAAGTTATGGATCAACACAATTAAAACAAAGTAAACATTAGATCCACAACTGTAGTAAAATCAACAATAGAAATGGAGAAGAAAAAAGCTGTATAGTTCATCAGCTAGTGAATATTAATGCTAAACATGAGAACCATTTATACCAATGTTTATTAAATACATATGGTCTGATCCATGGCATTCAGTTAACTTTTTTACATCATTTATTATTAAAGATGGTTTCAGTATAATTTTAATTATATGATGATTAGAGTTAACTATTTTAATTTGATTTGATGATACTTTTATTGTCATTGTACGGAGCACAATGAAATTAAGAACACCCATTCAAGAAGACACATGACAAAAACATGAGGGAACAGGTGATCATGTCATCTGGCAACCAGCAGGGGTCGCACTACCTTTTAAAAAGAAAAAATATTTATAAATTTTCACCCATTTAATAAAAAAAATGTAATTATTTTTCTCAGTATTCTTTCATAGGATCTTTTGAAAAGAAAGTGAGAAAACAAAAACACGGCACATGCAAATTTGAGCAATCTTATAAAATTGGAGCATGTTTATTAAGCAAATAATAAATAATTAAGAGATAATTAAATTTAGGCAACAGTTTAACCTCTTTCTGAGTAAAAAATTCAAAAAAGAACTCAAATTGTTCTATCAATATTAATATTAACAGTGGTTAARTTAAAGGATATTCAGAAAATAATYGATTTCACCTTAATTTGAAAAATAAAAAAGCAGTGATCTGTCCAAGGAGAAAAGATTATCACATTAGTTGTTTTCAGATTATTTCAAGTTGTCATGTCGCTTGTGTGACTGTTCAGTTTATGGCTCAGTTTCTCAATCGGAGATTTATTTTGAAAACCGGAAGCGGAAGTAGCAATTTTATTCTAACTCGTGTGAAATTCATGTTTTGTTAGCCTGTCTAGCAAGCTGATGTCGACTGGTTGACAATATCTTTAGATGGATATGTTTGGTAAGGTGTTTGCTTATTAACCATGACGATATTTACGAAGTTAAACTAAATTAATWTGTAAGCTAAAAGTAGCTGATTGGATGCATTTTCGGGTTTAATTACCGGCTGTGCTAGCAGTAGCTGCTCAGCTACGTTTGCTAACTGGAGTCGTCAGAAAGAAGCCAGCAGGAACTACTTTGACGTTAAATATTTATCTTCTTTCATTGTGCTGTTTAAGACGTCTACATTGAAGAAATGGCTGTCGCTTGCATTAGCATGAATGTGCATAATAATACAAAAAATACGGTTGCCCTGCGATCATTTTGGTATTTATATATTAGTGTCAGTAGGTGTTGAGGCCCGTAGTCTTTGCAGGGCCGATGATTTAACTAAGCTAACCATCTTTTATGAAAATACATAATGATCTGTAAATTAACGGCCAATGAAATAAGTCACACGCTTCTTAAAACGTTGACTACCACCCACAACACCTGTGATCCCAGTGTTTTTGCCATAATAACCTGAACATCCCTAGTCCAAGATGTCACCTCCAGCTGTGTACCTCTGTTGTTACGTCCTTGTATTTGTTTTATGGCTTTCAAAATGAAAGATGATTTTATGTTTGGCCTAATTGATCTCGCTTGAACTTGTCAGAAAATATAGGTCTGGTATAATTTCATCAGATGATTGGCAACTTTGTCGCCTTTGTAGTTTGTGCGTTAGATATTTGTTAATTAAGACTGTGCGTTGTGTGATTACAGCATAAAAGTTGTACAGAAGCCACTCCTAACTCGTGGGGCAATGGCTGACCAACATTCCCCACCTGAGATGTCCCAGAAGACTGAGTACCTGGAGCCTGATAATGAATCGGACAGGGATTCTGGTGTTGGGGAAGATGCAGGAGAAGATGCTGATACTTACAATCAATACAGTGTAAATGAAGAAGACGAAGACATGGAGATGGATAATATGAATGGAAATGATGGAGAGTCTGAAGACTTTACAGTGTTTGTTGCCTTTCAAGGGAACATGGAAGATGAGGACTTCGTTCAAAAACTTGACACCGTCGTCAGTGGGATACCTAACATACTTAATATGGGTTAGTTTTTTTTTCTTTATCCTTTTGTATAGTTTTGTATTGTTAACACTAAACGTGTCACTTGTCCTGTTCAGTCACCTTTGACAAAGTAAAGTAAAAGTGATTATGTAGAAATGCTGTCGATTTTTCCACCAGCCTGTCTTTTTATCTTTTTCATCTAAAAGCTGCTTAAGCAGATAAAGTGAGGTAGTATCAGTTGTAAAGCCAACTGAGTTCGTAAAATTATCATCTTTCAGACTCTGAGAGGCTGCAGCCACAACATGTGGAGCCATGGAACAGTGTTCGTGTTACCTTCAACATTCCTCGTGACGCTGCTGAGCGACTCCGACTGCTGGCCCAGAACAATCAGCAGCAGCTTAGAGAACTGGGTATTCTCTCTGTGCAAATAGAAGGTAAACAGCATAGACTAAGTAGAACGTATTCCGTCACTCACTTACATACTTATGCTTTTGCACTTTGTACTTAATTGATGCAATAATATTTAAAATTTTGTGTTCAGGTGAGGGAGCAATTAATGTGGCTGTGGGACCAAACCGAGGACAAGAAGTCAGAGTGAATGGACCAATAGGAGCACCTGGTCAGATGAGAATGGATGGTGGCTTTCCAGGTCAGCCTGGTCCAGGTATTTGTTTGCTGGATTTCTTATAACTAAAGACTATTTAGGTAGGAATAATCATTTTCTAGCTATCAGAACCTCAATTGGGGGGAAGCAAAATGTGCTGCCTCCATAAGTAATCGTTAGCATTCTTATTGATCATTTAGGTACTTGATAAATGTTGCCATGTGCATATTTATGACTTATTACTCTATATATTTATGTCAACAAGGAGGGGTAAGGATGGCCAATCCATCTATGGTTCCACCAGGCCCTGGCATGGTGGGTCAGCCTATGTTACCAGGCAGTAGTGGACAAATGCATCCTCGTGTTCAAAGGCCACCTTCACAAGCAGGTCTATATATTTTTTTGTTTTATTTTTTGCATATTATATAATTCATTGACAAAAGTTAAACAAATCACAGAGTTGGCAGAACAATAATGAATTATGCCTTCTATACCCACAGATGTGATGGATCCAATGATGCCAGTTATGTCTGTTCAGCAGCAGCAGCAACTTCAGCACCAACAGGTTGCTTCCCATGCTTCTGCTCATCATATACAAGCTCTGCAGGGAGGGAGACCACTCAATCCAGCTGCGCTGCAGCAGCTACAACAACAGCATCACCAACAGCAGCAGGCCCAGCAGCAGGTTCAGCTTTCCCAGCTTGGACCCAGACCCCCATTTAACCCTCCAGGCCAAATGTCTGCACCTCCTGGCTGGAATCAGTTGCCGTCCGGTGTACTCCAGCCACCAGCAGCTCAGGGAGGCCCTACATGGAGAAAACTTCCACCCCAGGGGCAAATGGTTCAGCGCCCACCCTCTCTAGCTACAGTTCAGACCCCCAATCATCCTCCACCCCCGTACCCATTTGGCAGTCAGCAGGCAGGGCAGTTATTCAGCACTATGGGTCAAGGACAGTTGCAGCAGCAACAACAGCCAGGAATGGGTCAGTTTGCTGCACCCCAACCTAAAAGCCAACAAGGTGGCCCCGTTGGGGTCACTGGACAACCCAGACCCCCGCCACCTCTTCCACCAACTACTGGACCACAGGGCAACCTCACTGCCAAGTCCCCTGGATCATCCTCATCTCCTTTCCAGCAAGGTTCTCCAGGGACACCTCCCATGATGGCTCAGAGACCTACCACTCCACAGGGTTTCCCTCAGGGTGTTGGTTCACCAGGTAGAGCAGCCCTCACTCAACAGGGTAACATGCAGCAAGGATTCATGGGAATGCCCCAGCATGGACAGCCTGGGGCCCAAGTTCACCCAGGTGAGCAATTGTTAGTGCCTGTATTTTAGTTTACTGAAAGACCAGTAAAAGAAATGTTGTGTTCTGTCATTACAAAAGATTTGCCATCAAGTAAGAATATATTTTTCAATTAAATGTTCACACTAACAAAATTAGTAACCACTGATTCCAGGTATGGCAAAGCGTCCTATGGGCTTTCCAACTCCAAACTTTGTCCAAGGTCAGGTGAGTGCGAGCACTCCAGGAGCCCCCGTTGGTGGAGCAACTCAGCAGCTACAGAACAACCAAGCAATGACTCACGCAGGTAAAGTGTAACACAGCAGATAAAATAGAATAGAATAGAAATGGTCTTTATTGTCCCGCGGAGGGAAAATTCAGGATGAAATTCAGATGTGTGGTTTGTTTGACGACAAGACATTATAATGAACCACATATTACATTGATCTACAGTATATTACATTTTTGACATAATGGCAAAATGTAATGAATAAAAAAAAGTGCTGATGCTCCAACAAGGTATCTTTTTCCTTTATTGTGGAGTGTAAGTACTTTGTCAGGAAAAAATCTTGCGGTTACTTATATTTGAGTAAGAATGATACAAAACATCTACCAGCGTACTTCTGAACATGCAGTGTTGTACGTGTAAAAAAATTTCAGCCAATTGCTTTTTTTATTATTATTTTTTTTTTAATTTAGCCTTTATCAAGCCAGACCACGATCCTTTTGAAGTGGCGGTTTAGAACAGTAATTCTTAATACCTTATTCCAAATTTTCAGTGTTTTGCCTTTGGCTGTAATTTTTCTACTCTTTAGTCCAATGCCTGTAGGCCTGCATTTGAATTATTTTGCTATGCTGTACAATTGAACAATAAAAAAAAAATCTGTGGAAAATGGACACGTCCAGTACAAAATAAGATGTGGACTGTCTAAAAAAATGTATGCACTCAGATTGAGAAGTTTTTGAAATTGGAGAAATTTTCTTCCTACCTTCTTCAAAAGGTAAATACCGGTACAGTGCCTATAACATTTTCACCCCCTTTGGATGTTTTATGATTTTATTGTTGTCATAAATCAGTCTTCATCACTATAAATTGGCCCTCTTTGCAACTAAATAAATAATATTTATATATCTATAAAACCTTCTTAAATGATGCAATGAAATCATATTTCTACAGAATAATACTAATTAAATAAGCTTATTATATATTGTAAGAGGCAGTGAAATATGTTGTAATCAGTCTTTTCCATTTTACACCAGGAACCCAGCCATCAGCCTCCACACCAAACTCAATGCAGGGACCACCCCATGTCCAATCTAATGTTATGGCTGTGCAAAGTAGCATGGCAGGTCCGCCTCCTGGTACAACAGCTGGACCTAGCATGGGCCAGCAGCAGGCTGGCCTCCAGACCCAGATGATGGGCCTCCAGCATCAGGCCCAGCCTGTGTCTTCCTCCCCCAGCCAGATGGTTCAAGGCCAGGGTGGAGGTCAGACTGTCCTTTCAAGGCCCATTGGTCAAGGGCAGAGAGGAGGGATGACCCCACCTAAGCAAATGATGCCACAACAAGGCCAGGGGGTGATGCATGGGCAGGGTCAGATGGTTGGAGGCCAAGGACATCATGCCATGCTCCTGCAGCAGCAGCAGCAACAAAACTCAATGATGGAGCAAATGGTTGCCAATCAAATGCAAGGAAACAAGCAGGCTTTTGGAGGCAAGATTCCACCTGGGGTTATGCCTGGCCAGATGATGCGTGGCCCTTCACCAAATGTTTCTGGAAATATGGCTCAGTTTCCGGGACAGGTCCCACAGCAGATGACTCCTCAGCAGCAGCAGCAATTAGCTCAACTTCAACAGCAGCAGCAGTTACAACAGCATCAGCTGCAGCAGCAGCAGTTACAACAACAGCAGCAGCAGCAACACCAGCAGATGAACCAGCAACAGCCCCAACAGGTTCAAATTTCTGGCAATCCTAATCAGACTATGAGCATGCATGGTCAACAGATGAGACTTCCTGCTGGTCATCATCTTATCCAACAACAACAACAACAACAGTTACAGCAGCAGCAGTTTCAGCAGCAACAACAACAGAAACAACAACAAGCAATGCTGCAGCAGCAACAACAACAGGCAGCTCAGCAGCATCAACATGTCATGGGAGACCCAAATGGGGCTGGAGACATGGGTGTGCAACAAATGGTCCCTGATATGCAGGCACAGCAGCAGCAAGGCATGATTGGAGGTCCTCAGCACATGCAGATGGGAAATGGACACTTTGCAGGTCATGGCATGAACTTCAACCCTCAGTTCCAAGGTCAAATGCCTATTGGAGGGCCATGTGGGCAACCAGGAGGCTTTCCAGTTAGTAAAGATGTTACGCTGACCAGCCCACTGCTAGTCAATCTTTTGCAGAGTGATATCTCAGCAAGTCAGTTTGGACCAGGAGGAAAACAGGGGGCAGGTGGAGACAATCAGGCAAAGCCTAAAAAGAAGAAACCTGTGCGAAAGAAAAAGCCCAAAGAAARTGACGGCCAACAGCAAGTTGAGGGACCTGGGTAATAACTTCATTCTATTATATTTTAATCAATTGAAAACTTCACTCTTATCATTATTGGACAATTCTTCTCATATTTCATACATTTTTGCCTCTCAGTGGTCTTGATGGGGCAGCTGGGCTGGATGATTCTGAAGTGTCCAATCTGGGTGGGGAGCCGGGTTTGAACTCAGAAAACCCAGTCCAGAAACTCCCTGATTTTGCAAACAGGCCTGCAGGTAAATTAAAAAATTATTATRTTATTATTATAACATTATATTATATTATATTAGTTTGAATTAAATTTTTAGAAGCACATTCTTTTAATAATTGTTTTATTGTCAAAGTCTAATTTATTGAAGCACATTTAAAATCAAGTGTTGACCAAAGTGCTGTGTACATAAAAGGTCTAGATTATTTTATTATTGTATTGTAATATATTAACATTTAAACAAAAGTAATTAAAATTAAAATATAACAATAGTTTTTCCCTCTTTTTGCTCTCTTTAGGCTTTCCTAATCAGACAGGAGAGCAAAGAGTACTGCAGCAAGTACCCATGCAGTTTATGCAACAGCAGCAGCAGCAACAACACCAACAACAACAGCATTTGCAGCAACAGCAAATGCAGCATCAGCAAATGCAGCATCAACAGCAAATGCAACAGCAGATGCAACAGCAACAAATGCAACAACAGCAGCAGCAACAACAACAACAATTACAACAGCAGCAGCAACAACAACAACAACAACTACAACAGCAGCAGCAGCAACAACAATTACAGCAACAACAAATGCAGCAGCAGCAGCAGATGATGCATGCTCTCCAGAATGCTCAAGGCCAGCAAGGGATGACAGGGCCACAAGCTTCAGCTCAAGGCCAACCACAGATGCATCCTCATCAGCTGCAGCAGCAACAGCAGGTATTATGTGCACACTTGATGGTGTCTGGTATAAACACAGCAAGTTTTCTATTTTTACTTTATGTTGCTTTCCATCGTACATTCTAGCAGCAGCAACAACAACAGATGATGATGATGCTTAAGATGCAACAGGAGCAGGCAAAGAATCGAATGCCCATGCCCCCAGGAGGACAGCTCCCTCCCCGGGGTATGGCCAATCCAACAGAGGCACAAAGGCATCCAGTTTCACAGCAAAGCAACATGCCTGTAATGATCAGCCTTCCAGGACATGGAAGTGTGCCACCATCACCTGACAAAGCYCGGGGGATGCCCTTGATGGTGAACCCACAGGTAAAGGACAAGTAGTAATCTGCACAATATGAATATGCAAATTGTATAGTGAAATGTAAATATGTGRATGTGCCATTATTTATTTTGGTTTAGAAACTTGTGCGCTATTTGAATTGAAGTTCTCCTTTTCCAGCTTGCAGGTGCTGTTCGAAGAATGTCCCATCCTGATGCTGGGCAGGGTACCCAGGGCACTGGATCTGATGAGGTTCTTACAGGTGCACCGTCAAAGCAGGACAGGCCTGGTGGCTCAGAAATTGGGACACAGCCAGGAAATGGGACTCAACAGGTTGTGTCCAGCCAGGGTTCCAATGCTCATTTGATGAAGCAAGGGTCTGGTCAAACACAAATGCCCCAGCATACCGGGGCCAGTCCTCAGCAGCAGTTGCCCAGTCAGCCTCAACAAGGCGGTCACATGTCTAGCCTTCATTTTCCTAATGCCCCTACAACTTCACAAAGCTCCAGGCCTAAAACCCCCAACAGAGCCAGCCCAAGACCCTATCATCATCCTCTAACTCCAACTAATCGCCCACCCAGTACTGAGCCCTCAGAAATTAACCTTTCTCCTGAGAGGCTAAATGCTTCAATTGCTGGACTATTTCCTCCTAAAATTAACATTCCTCTTCCTCCAAGACAGCCAAACCTTAACAGAGGATTTGACCAACAGGGTTTGAACCCAACAACCCTGAAAGCAATTGGGCAGGCACCTCCTAATTTAACTCTAACAAGCAACAATAACAACAATGGTAACACAGGAGGAAATAACACTAACAATCAGATGTCTTCTGGACCTGGTGTTGGGGGTTTAGGTACAAAGCAAGACAAACAGCCTGCAGGCCAAAGTAAGAGGGCAAGTCCTAGCAATAGTCGCAGGTCAAGTCCCGCATCTAGTCGCAAGTCAGCCACTCCAAGTCCAGGAAGACAAAAGGGGGCAAAAATTACAATCAACTGCCCTCCACATCAGCAGCAATTAGGAAACCCTCAAGGGCAAACAATGATGCTAAGCCCTTCCTCGGTGCCTCAAAGTCCAGTATCTCTGCCTTCACAACTAAGCGGAGGCATGGAGGCACAGCAGACCCAAAGTCCCATTCATGGGATTCACGGCAACCCAGCTGATGGAGTCAGGGAAAACCAGGGAATGCTTACAGTCGAAAGACACACACCTCAATCTCAGTCCCAACCATTCAGGGATTTATCAGCCCCCAGAATAACAAGTCCTCGTCTGCCAGCACCCCAGCAGCCTAAACCTGATATGGAAGTGCAGGGAAGCACAACTGATAGACATCCAACACAGCAAACATCTATACAGGACTCAGAGGCTTCACCTGCTCTCAGATCAGCTCCAACATCCCTCAACCAGTTGCTAGATAACGCGAGTGTTGCAAACATGCCACTTCGAACGGTTCAGACTAATACTGTTGTCATAGGAAAAGACAGCCTGAAGTCTGCTTTGGATCCAGACAGGCCACTTCCCACTAATTCCCAGAGCTTTTCATCTGTTGTTACCACTGCTACTGTACAGGAAACTGAGGCTAAATCTAAACCAGCTTCTTGTATTCCTACTAGCAGCCCTGCCTTGCAGCTTACTTCAGTCCCCAGCTCGCACCTTCCCACTAATGTAAGCTTGAGTACTCTTGGCCTTAACCAAAATCCCATTTCTAGTCTCATTAATTCGAATTCAAACATAAATTCAATGACCAGTCTTTGCAACTCAGTCAGCACTAACACTAATGCGACACCAGGTCTTAGCACCAGTACAATCACTTCTGGTCAGAACAGTTCTGCCACAGCTGTTAGTACCAGCTCTGTTGTACACCCAGCCAATTCATCTCTTAAGCCAAGTCCTAGTCCTAAACCTGTGACAAGTGTTCCCTCAGTCATACAGGTCCCTTCATCTTCAACCAACATTTCTCCCAATCAGATCAGAGTGTTGTTCGCACCAAATGCCATTACTTCTGCCCCTACTTCACAGGTGTCCGCATCTATGGTGTCCACTATGATGGCTGTCCCAAACAAAAACATTAGACCTCAGGACATCAGACAGCAGAATTCCGGCCCACGACCTGCTCAGTTCATCACAACCACTCCTGTGTTTATCAACCCAGTTTTCCAGGTCACGGGTTCTTCTATGGCTCCCAATACAACAGTGGTATCACAGTCTGTCACCATGGTGGGCTCTATCCAGGTGTCGGCTGCAAACATCCAACTTTCTCCTGCTCCAACTTCCACACAATCATCAGGGGCTACAATGACAAGTGCTCAGCTCACAAAGAATGCTGTTGGACAGGTTCATGTAGCCAGTAGTATGTCCTCTTCAGTCCCTGCTGGTACTCTCCTAGCTCCTCAACAAATGAACCAAGGACATGTCAAAACAGAACATTTGGGAGAGACGAGTTCTGCTCAAAAATCTGCTCTCCCTGTGTGTCAGCCACATTCCCATCCAAGCCAATCAATGTCTTCTTTTCAACCACCTCTGGCCTCTCCTCCTCCCTGTTCTAGTCCTGGAGCTGTTAACACAATCCGAAAGAGCCCTGTATCTTCATCTCCAGTTCCCCATGTGAAAAGTAAGCCTGCGTCAGTTCCTGTATCTTGTACTGGCACAGCTGACTCCCAGCAAAGCAGTGTAGAAAGGCCACTACAGGGGCACCCAGGGCCAGTCCCTCCACAAGTTTTTATACCTCCTGTTAGTTCAGCCGTTAAGACTGAAGCACAAGCTCCCCATACTACTACTGTTGGATCAAATAATACTCTGCCTATAGTTTCTTCCCAAGTTACTGTTCCTAATCAGATTGTTGGCCAGGCACCTGTACTCACATCAGCCTCAGTCTCAAGCCTAAAACAGGCAGTAAATCCTCAAGCTCCCATTGTGACTGCAGCTGGTACAACCGCTGGGGTCTCTTCCAGTACATTGCTTACTACAGTCACTCCTGTACATACTCCCGTGCTGTCTGTTGTTCCAATTGTTGCTGCACCAGTACCTGTTGAGGGATCCCATATTACATCCACTCCTGCTGCTGTCTCCAGTGGAGGGCCATCAGGCCAACCTGACCCTCCAGCTGCAGAGCCACCCATGCCACCAAATTCAGCACCTGCTGAATCAGCTCAAACCACTTCAGGTACAATCATGTTTGTATATCTTTAAGCCTAGGCTTATTTCACACAACTGCGCCTTATGACTGTTAATGAGGTAATATTGTTTTACCATGAAAAGAGAAATAAGCATGATTTACTGAAATATTTTGTGACTTTATTGGAGCAGGAATAGTTTTTGTTTTTTAAAATACCACTCACGTATTGTCCTCCCCTTTTCAGCACCTCTTCAACAAGAAGCTTCACAGGATTCTGGCTCCACTGAGAAGAAGAGTAACTATTTTCTCATTTCAATTTAAAAATTCAAATCTAACAAGCCCATTTGAGAAACTGCAACTAGATAGTAGATAATTCTGTGTGTGTGTTTTACAGATGAAGAGTTCTCAACAGGTTCAGAGCAAGGGTGAGATTATTTTTTAACATGGGTCATTGTTGTTGCTGTTTGGTTTAATTTGGATCCAAGGGATTTTTATGATGACCTTCAGTATGACACTTTTTAAAAACCTGCCCTGATCATGTGAAAAATAGATGTCAAGACTTTTCTAGCTTCATTGAACCACAGGTTAGTTTTTATAGAGTAGGGGGTGGGGG